TCCTAGCACCATTGAAAACCTGCCAGGCAGAGGGGTTGATGCACGCTGATATGTCAAGTTTCAAACACCTCCCGTTTGCCTGGTGTGGCAATTTGGAGAAGAGGGTGCCAGCTGAGGTGATTTCCTCGTCACTTGACTGTGGTTTCAAATTATGATGCTTTTCGCCAATGAATATCATGTTACTTCGAAGTGTAACGTCAATAAACAATTAATCAATGAGGTAAGCTCATGAGCATTCTATTCCAGTTTTCATAATTTTTCTTTTTAACATGTCTTGTAAACTTGGTCTCAAAGCAAAAAGAAATTTTTTTTTCTGCTGTCAGTAATATTTAAAATTTTATTTCAGGAATTTAATTCATAAAAAGTTATTCTATGGTAATTTTCAGATTTCCAAGTGCAAAAGGAAATGCAACTGACGTTAAGTAAATTTAAATGTCATTTTACTTCAGATTATGAGTCAGTACTAATTGCTTTTTCTTTTCTTTTGACATAAAAAAATAATTGAAGTTTTTCATTCTTCCAACCAACTGTGAACTTCGTTTACTAATTGAAAAAGAAATATAATTTTTTTTTTCGTGATCAATCCCAGGGAAATATATGCACTCTTGTCTTTTGATGCATGATACAAAAATTCTGACTTGTGCTTCTAATTAAAATGAATTTTTTTCTGAAAAAGATGAAAATACAATCTGTTTCGAGGACGAAAAATAAGGTTCTTATTCTTGTGTGTTGTTTTTTACGTGAAAGATGGATGCTAATTAATTTCTCATCTATATAATAAATTTTTTTTCCTTCAAAAACCTTGCTGAAGAATGAATAAGCGACAGTGGCTTTCCAAATTAGAAGGCCTAATTGGTGAATTACCTTATCACACAATAAAGAAAAATATTTCGGGAGCAAAAGTAAAGGTGTCGTACGTTAGTAAAGGGAAGAAAACAAAAAATAAACTTTCTTTAATGAACGTGGCAAGACATTCATAGGGTACATTCACAAGGTAAAAAGATAATTGTGGATAATAAAAGCAAATTTGTTCTGAACTTTCAATGAAACAGGTGAGCAACAGAAAATAGTTTAATAGTTAAAATTTTAATCTAATTATTTTGGGATTTTACTCTTATAAATAAATTACTATAAGAAATATATATAATAAACTTTAAATTAAATTATATATAATTAATATAAAATATAAATAATTATATATAATTAATATAAAATATAAATAATTATATATAATAAAATTATATTAAAATTATATATAATTATATATTATATAAAATGGCATATTATACAATACATATTATATACTATTATATAACTATACATTATATTATATATATATATTGGCCTACATTATATAAACTATATATTATAATAAAATTATATATAATTAATATAAAGCGAAATTTATTAAGTTATAAATTGAAATTATATTAAATTATAAATTATTAAAATATTTTTAAAAGGTTTTAAAAAATGTTGGTAAAAACGATGCCTTGCTAGACAAATTTTAGAGAATAAAACTTTTTCTGTTTGTATCAAATTAAAGAAACATCAAAATATTTAGCCTCATGAAGATGGTTCTATTATGTAATTGATTAGAATATAGTGTCTTTTAGAATTATATCTCTTATAATAATTGCATTTTTTAAATCCTTATTCTTTAATATGTAAAGAATTAATATTAGTTGTTTTAAAAAAAATTCTACTGTGCGATACATATGAGAAATACATGTTAATGCTTTTTTTTTCAAGAATGAGTAATCTCTTCATTTAAGGCACTTCTGCTGACACTCTTAATTTTTTTTTTTTGTCTTTTTTTTTTTTTTTGCACTTTAATACGTATAAATGTATTTTATGATCTTCATTCCACATGCTTCAGTTTAATCAACAATATTAATCTGTTAATCTTCAGAGAAAACTCAGATGTTATCCTCGTCACTTGACCGATGTTCAGAATTGCGAGTACCATCGCCAACAGCCCTCACGCTGCATGTCAATAAAAAAACAGAAGAAAAATTTATGATATAAGAATATGCTTAGAAAATGAATAAAATGAAATTTTAAGACCTATATAAATTTTAGTTTGAGAATACCTTTAATTTTTAAAATAGTTTACACCACATTACTAAAAAAACAGCAACTTAAAGTAGGAAAATGAATTAAAAAATATACAGAAATTGTTATAGTTAATAATATGAAGAACATGGATGTTGGTGCAGAATATATAAAAATAACTTCTCTTAAATGTAACTTAATAGTATCATAATTAAATAAAATATTGTCATATATTTAATAGTCAATTATATATAATTCTATACACAAAATTATTATACGTGTAACTTAGAGTAAACAAAAATTAATAAGACACTATAGAACAAAGTAATACAGCCACAGTAATACACCAGCAAAGATTTTGGCTTAAGACTAAGATTGCAAGATAAACAAAGTTTTAATTTCCCCTTTATTTGCCGATATTACACGGCTGAAACCGAAGTTAACAAAGAAAACAGTGTTAGAAATAATGTAAAAATCTTAAAGCCCTATAATTAATTTGTAAAAAATTCACTTTCCCTTTATCCAAGAGTATCATGATATCTTTAAAGAACCAACTCAAAGAACAGCATTTTCGGAAACCATGAATATAGTCTTAAAGGGAATCAGCAACATATTATGCGCAGAAAATATGAAAAGAATATTTAAAATTTTTTTACGAAAAGTAAAAATTTATAAACTGCAACAAATTTAGATAATTATTCAAACAAGTTAACTTGTAGAGAAACACACTCACAAATATATATATATATATATATATATACAGAGAGAGAGATAAAATTGAATCTTGCTCTAAATTGCATAAATCTTTTACTTAAAGTTTAACAATATTTAAAAGGGTAACAAGACAGTAAAGGTCATAGTTGAATGGTTTCAGTACTTACAGACGAAGGTCTAAGATTCTAGGGTTAAACAATGTTTTAAAGCGCCCGTATATTTGCTTATAATACTGATCTGAAAAAGAAAAAAATAGTGCATGAATTTTTGTTTGAATAATTCAAACAAATCCAAAAAGTATAAACCAAAATACTACAGTAAAAAACAGAAACCTGTGCATATTTGGAAATATATAAGACCAAAAGGCTAAGGTGAAATTGAAAAATATATTAGATAGAAATGAAATACAGGAAAAATACTAAGCAAATCCAACAGCAGAAAAATATAGATGGAAACTTAATGGGTATAAAACCACATACGAAGTAATTTGCAATGCCAAAAAACAGAAGTTAATAATTCACAATTTTTTTCCAAGTAAGACATACTCTCATCTATTTTGTCCATTACTTAAAACATTTATTATACTTCAATCAGAATTTTCAGCGCTAAAAAGACTTTTTATCCAATTTAAAAAAGGCATTCAATTACTTTTTAGCAGATACATTTCTTTCGGTTAGTTCAAAATCAATACTTTGATTTTTTTATACATCTAAAATAATTTCTATCTTTAGAAATTTCTTTCTATTATAGGAAATACTCAATGGGATTAATTTTCATTAAATTCTTCTTTGAATTCCTTTCCCATTCCTGTATTCGTTTTAAAACTGAAATCCCCCCCCCCCACAAATTAAGATACTTACTGTGTACATTAAATTCCCTTACAAAGATACAAATAAAAAAAACTAAACAAGAATACGAATTAAATACTCTAATAGTGAATATAAACCTATATATATATATTGGAAATTTCATATATTCCCTTTTAAACAGTTAATTACGATTTTATTTTCCCATTATTCGTTTTTCATATCCTATTAAAGTTTAAAAAACCCGAAGTTCCAGAAATAGACTCGGCGATTCAGGAAATCAATAGCAATATATAATGTTTCATTTGTAGCGCATTGTTTGAAAATTGTCGTATCTGGAATGTTACAAAAGACGCCTTTATTCAATTTATCTTCAAAGTATTACCGTTAATGTAATTTATCTCAAAATATGATATATGATGATGTTTACGATGTCAAAAGTAATGAAATAAAACGAAAGAGGAAGGAAATTCTGCTTTCTGTTATTAAGGAAATGTTTCGTAGGAGAAATATAATCCTCTCTCTCTCTCTTTTAACTTAAATCTATAAAATAAAAGATAAATATCGTTAAAATAATTTTTCTCAAATAAATTATCCATTCGCATCCAAACACTACTTAGTTTTTTTTAAAGGATAATAAGCTTATTTATTCTTTCATAACACTTAAGAGATGAATATAATCCGATTAGAAAGGAAATATTGTGATAAGGGTATTATTTGAATAAATGAAACAATGATAAATATTTTGATTCGATGATAATTAATGTTTTAATGCAAAGAAAAAAAATGTAAATGAATTACAAAGAAAATCTGTGTCTTTGTGTGCGCGTGCTCGTACTTGTTGTAAATGCTACGTTATATGATAGTTTGGTGTTGCCTATACGGTGCCACACTAAAAAGTGATATCAACTCCTGGGGAATAAACTAGTAGGTCTGCGGGGGTAGAAAATATCAATACGCGGCCCCATTAGAGGGGGTGGACGTTATATAATAGTAAATGTTTCGAAATTATTTTTCTATGAGTTATAGAATCACCGTACATAATCGCAAATTTGAGAAATAATACATTTAGTGAAAGTTTATAGAGCTGAGAACACACACACAGTTCATAGAATTATTTATTATATAAGAATATATTTACCTGGAACAAGTAATATAAAAAAATTAAGTCAGTTTCTACTCAGGTCAACAAAGAAAAATTTTACTTTAGTTACTTTTTATTAAATAGTTACAATTAATATAAATATGTATATACATATGACAGAATCACAATATTAAGTGACAAATAGAAAATGATTTTCCTTGAAATTTTCCATTTTAAATTCTATATAGGGTGCTGGACTATTTGTTACTATTCATTATTAAATTTAATTATTCTAATAAAATAGTACAGTAGAAAGGAAATCACATTCTCAGAAATTAGGCCATCCCAGGTGGGATTCGAAACCGCAACCTTTGGATTTAATGTCCAACGTGCTATCCATTGCACAACAGGGACACTGCCAACGATTTTCCTTTCTATATATACTGTTGGATTATTATTTTTGTTTGCTTCTGTTTATTCATTTTTTAATTTAATTAAATAATTAATATTTGAAAAAACTGTATTAATATTACTACAAGTTTTTAAAAATGTATTTGAACTTTTATGGATGAATAGAAAGTATTTTATTAACGTTTGAAAATTTGAACAAGATATATATATAGAGAGAGAGGGAGAGAGAGAGAGAGTTAAAACTAATAGTAGGAATTGAAAAAATAAATTTATGTATACGCCCAAATGCGGTGAAAGAGCACCTTAGTAACCTTTGGTTAGTATTCTTCTGAAAGAAACAGAGAGGTGCATTTCTTGCTTCAGCTTTCCGCAGATCAGAGGGCTAGCCTTTCTCACAGAATAGCAGCTATTATTACGGAAAAAAGTGACCCGGCCTTATATTAATTTTTGACTTACTTGAGGAAAACGCAAATGTACATACGACCGAATAGTTTTGATCAAATATAGCATGTATGTATAACAAATTTGAAATAACCCTGGCAACCAGTAATAAGGATCGCAAACTCTTGGCTGACAATGTTCAAGCAGTGCCATGTGTTCAAGTCCTGTTTCCTATTAGGGCCCGTCGCATGGAGTTGCAACTCATTCAATGAAACTAGGTCACGCATGGTGAAGTGGAGGAGAATATGTAAAAAACTCGACTCGAACATGAATCAAAATTAGGAGATCTGTATAATATTTATATATTTAATGTGCAACTGAAATCAGCAGTTGTTTCTTAGCTTAAATTCATCTGCCGTTAACACAGAAGTAAGTTCGGCAGTAAATCAATCTAACGGAGCCCGAGAAACAGTTCATTGTATAAAAATTAACAGTACATCAGCAAATCCAGTGGCACTTCTTCACTACTTTCATATATATGGTGTGACTATTTCAATAAAAACGCAATGTTTGTAAAATTTTCTTCTATTGAATAAATGTTGACAATGTTTTCATTCGAACTAATTCTAGATTTTCTTGTAGAAAAAAGGCAGAAAATTTAACCAACTGTACAACAGAAAAAAAATGGCATTAAAATTGACACTATTTGAAAATAACGCTCCCTATTTTTATAACGTTAGAAACCAGTATAAATCAGATTTCGGCATGTTTTCTTAGAGTTTGGCAATGAAAAATAAAAGAGAAACATATAGTATACAGAGAAATTTGCTGACACAAACAAAACTGAACAGTAAATTAAAATATTAAAGAATTTAAAATAGAATTTTAACACTGGAGCATTTTTCTGTCTGAAAAAGGTTTCATGTTTAAAATGAATTATCCGAACAATAGGAAAAGATCATTTGATTAACTTCTGTAAATCGTTTCATAATATCGTCGTATTTTTCTTCCAGGTTTTCATCAAAACGGAGTTAAAAGTGGGAGTTATTCTCGTCAGGGAAGGCCAATCAACAGAAGAACAGATTTTAGATAATCAAACCCATACGCCTCTTTTTGACGAATTTCTCTCAGTGTTGGGAGATAGAATTCGCCTGAAAGGTCAGTTCACGGCTGCTTTCTTTATAATTTATTCTAGCAGAAATAGTGTATTTTGTATTTATTCAATTGTATATAAACTAGCAGGGGTGTGCCTAACAATTTCTTTTAAGTATGCTGATCCCAGCATACTAGTTTAAAACGGAAATAGGCTCTAATATCCTATTACTTCTGGAATAGACTTTCTTAAAACTATTCAATTTAAAGTTATTTTAGATTATATACCACTTCCCTAATTCTTTCAGAATACACCCTGCATCCCTGGTACATTTGTAATGCATTCCAAAAGGCCCTACTGTAGGAAAAATATAATCACCTATACTATTAATTCGGGAGAATATTGTAAAGTACTGCTTCCTGTTATACTACTTTAAGTATATTAGTTTCCGGATTGATTTGGAAAGTGTTTTCAAAAAAATAGACAACAAGAACGTTATTTGAAAAACAATATTTTTCAAAAATGCAACATTATTGTAAAAATACTATTCTACTATCGTCTAATAGAAATATATAAATTATGCCATTCATAAATGAAAATCAAATTTATTTAAGAATTACAATCTGCATATTATTGGCAATTTTTTGAATTAATTCTTCATTTTTATTCTGAAGTCTATAAAATTGCTACTTCCTTAAAAACTAAGTATAATACAATTGAACTAATTATTAGTTAGGATTATAGTGAAGTGTTACAATTTTAAAAGAAAAATGTAAAAAAGGTTAGCAAATTAATAGTCAAGACTTTATACATATAATTCTACTGTGTCGTAGCCTCTCGCTACCTCTAAGATTATCAACTCCCCTTCGGGTATTACCTGAATCTGAATGTGTTGAATTCATAATAAATTCACTACTTATTTTAACAAATCAATCTTATTTATTGACTTTTCTTAATTAAGAGATTACGCAATTACTATTCAATTTTAAGAACAATAAAACACAGTGGAGAATGAGAAGGATTCAATAATTATGAACGACGGAATCCTATCTGAATCCACGAAGGGACGACGCGTACACAATTACATCTACACACTTATACTTAATTGGAACAAATAAAACTAACTTGATTTCTTATGTTATGGCAGGATCGTCTAGCTGCTTCCTTAATATCTTGATTGGATTCCTTTAATAGGCGACTTCTTTCTCTGCTATTTCGCAGTTCTTTATGAACTAATTTTATCCACAACGGTACGATAGACTCTACTCACAACGTCTACGTTTACACTTGAAAAAACACTTTCTCATTTCATTTCATTCTCCTCTCTCTTCATTTCATTCCCCCTTCCCTAACTCGCTAAACCCGAACTTATATAAAATATCTCATTTGCATAAATCACGCTTTGGCTCCCGGTGGAGATTGGTTGAAATAAATAAAATATAGAATATATGAGAAGGTTAGTGAAACGCGTAAGCACCCGTCACAACTGTAATGAATGAAATTCTATGCAACGTTATATCCGTACATAGAATATAAAAGTATTTGAAATAAATACATAATAACCATTACAATTAATGAATATAAAATGATTTTCAATGACTTTAGTTGTGACCGTAGTAACCAAGTGGTCATGGTCACGAACTCGTGGACGGCGGTGTCCAGTCGCCAATTCGAGTCCTGGTGCTCCTCGTCCTGTAGAGATGCTGATGCAAGTGAAATCTGCCATGGCTAAAAGTCCTCGCTTTGGTGTGGTCATCCTCTTCACTTGAATAGAACTTAAAATTACAAGGACTTTTGCCAATAGCCCAGTTGTTGATTTAAAGGGTGATGATCCACTCACTCAATGACTTTAATTAATCACACGGAGTCAAAATTAGAGCCGAAACAATTCCAATATATCAATTACTACAAAAAAGTGCCATGTGCTTATTGTTATAGAATTAAAATAACCTATTTTAATGGGATTTCTTGTCACTAAGCATTTTTCTTCTATTGAATGGTCTTTCGAAAGAGGTTTAATCAACCAGAGGGGTTAGTGTTCCTTTATTCTTCAGAATTCCTCAAATCAAAATTCAGGAGAAATTATGGATACTTAAATGTTTTGAAAGACATTCTGCGTCTTTAATTGTTCAAGCAAAACAAAAAAGAAACCACTATAGAGTTGTAATTTACAATGCAAGTAATAAATTATCAAGAACTCTAATGCGAAATAGCTTATTATACAATCGGGTCTCCTGATGTTAAAAATGAAAAATATTGACAAAAATTACTTGCAAGATTAAAATTGTATTAATTCAGGGGTTTTGCGAATCTCAACATTTCGAGAAGTTTTTGTTCAAGTAAAGGGTCCAATATTATTCAAAAAGAATTGTTACTAGATACTTCCGCAAAATCTTCGATGCATAGCGAAAGGTAAAATATTATGCGGTCCTATTTTAGGACAGCAGGAAATCCATTATATTAGTTCAAATTGTTTTATAAGCCTTTTTTAGACAAAATCATTTTCCTCTCTAATGCTTTATTATTTATAACATTTAATTATAATGATTTTATTTCTATTTTTTCTGAATTAATAATTATTATTATCAATTAATTATTTTTATCAGTTTAAATGTATATTTAAGTGATTATCATATAGTATTTATTTATAGCTATTTTTTATTATTATCCGCCACTCGCGGGACTAGTAAAAACTCTTGCTTTTAAAAATTTAACAATTTTAACTTTGCGTTGAAAGGTTTAGACAAATCCCAGCAGCTTTATGCGGCGAGAACCTCTTCTAGTGAGGGACGATACAGCAATTGAACATTATACAGAGATTGTGTTACACAAACAACTCGAAACAAATAACATGTTGCCATCGCGCTAAAGATAAATACAGTCGATAGCGTTGGTAGAAAGCATGACAGTAAAATTAATTATTTTACACAAAATACATATAAAATAGAAATTATAAATAATACGAAGAATTGAATAAAAATTAAGTATAGCATATAAATGAACGTACAAAGCACATTAATAATAAAAATAGATAATTTGAATAATAATAATTCAATTTGAATAACAATAAAACAGTTTGAATAATAATAAAAGTATAATTTGAATAATAATTACACAGTTTGAATAATAATAAAAGTATAATTTGAATAATAATTACACAGTTTGAATAATAATAAAAGTATAATTTGAATAATAATTACACAGTTTGAATAATAATAAAAGTATAATTTGAATAATAATGAAAATACAATTTAATTAACAGAAAATACAATTCCATACAAACAATTATAGTTATTTCATTCAATTTTATTATTTTTTTGTCAGTTAATTCAAAATTGTAATCAAATATGAAAAATGAAATTTGCTCTTTAATTTAAAACTAATTTTAAATTTATCATTATAATCTGATCGTAAATATATTATTTAAGCAATTGAGTTGCAATGAAGAAACTACATGCAATCCAAGGATAATTCATAGTGTTTTGATAAGGTTTGTTTTCTGTTTATTTGTCAGCAAATGTACTTGTTC